CCATTTTTAAACTCTCCTTCAAAGGTCATATTGTCATGCCGGATGAAGACTCCAACGCCATTAAACTTGCCCTGGGAAAACTCCCCCTCATATCTGTAGAAACAACAACATGTTAGCCTTCTGGGGGTGTACGGTGTTGTCGGTCCAGGTTAAGTGAGTCACACAATTACCGATTTCATAATGCCAAGGAGTAAAGTGGATGCCATGTGTTTCAGAGCTCTAGTCCCCAGCTCACCCTACTCCAGCTAACACAGAAAGGTCAGAGAATATGTATGGCTTGACGGGCTCAGGTCAAGGAAAGAACATGGGAACATGGAGGTAGAGTGGAAGGTGATTCAGTTCCTTACCCTTTCAAGTTTTAGATCTATTTAAAAATTAACTCCTAAAAGAACTACTTATTTCTTGGCTGTTTTCTGCAGGGTCTATGTTCAAGGTCAACCAGATACCACTATCATTTTTTTCATCAGAGTTACTCTAGCTTACAGTTGGGAAAGAAATGATACCATACCTACCTTGAGCCATCTGAGAAGGTCAGCACCCCAAAGCCATTAAACAGCCCATTTTCAAAATGACCCAAGTAGGTGCCACCATCTGCAAACATCAATTGGCCAAAACCATGTCTACGGCCTCCCCAATGTTCCTTCTCACCCTCTTTCCATTCGCCACGATATTCCTCCCCATTGGAGTAGGTGAAGGAACCTTTTGTTAGGGTCATGATGCCAGCTTATAGAAGAAAAGGATGAGAGCTGTAGGAAAAAAGCAGAGGGGAGTATGTGTCACAGGATGGCTGGAGGAAAGGTCGGCAAGCAATTTCGCAGACACATTCTAAAAGGCCACCAGCCATGGTAAGCCTGTATACTGGCGGTACATTTAACAAAAATATCTACTTTTTAAAAAGAAATTATTATTATTATTAATTTTAGTGTAAATTTATAGAGAGTTTGGATTTCCATTCATTCATTGTTGAATCAGTCATTTTCTCCCTGTCCACACCTCCACCCCAGTACACTCTACTCTTTGAAAAGTAAAACTCTTTCACTGTTTTACAATCCTTCCCCCCAGGTCTACTCCACTATGCAGCCTTCATTCTGGACTCCTACCATGACAAAAATACCTAATCACATATCCCTTTAAAACAGTTTTCTCCCTCATCTGTTTCAATGCAGTACACATTGTTTATCCCATCTTCTGAGTCTCCCCCCAACAGTGGCACTATGCAGTATTTGTCCCTGTGTGACTGAGATATTTCACTCAGCATAATGTCCTCCAGGGTCACCCACTTTGAATTACCAAAACCATCTACTCTGCCATTTTTAAACTCTCCTTCAAAGGTCATATTGTCATGCCGGATGAAGACTCCAACGCCATTAAACTTGCCCTGGGAAAACTCCCCCTCATATCTTGAGTCATCTGAGAAGGTCAGCACCCCAAAGCCATTAAACAGCCCATTTTCAAAATGACCCAAGTAGGTGCCACCATCTGCAAACATCAATTGGCCAAAACCATGTCTACGGCCTCCCCAATGTTCCTTCTCACCCTCTTTCCATTCGCCACGATATTCCTCCCCATTGGAGTAGGTGAAGGAACCTTTTGTTAGGGTCATGATGCCAGCTTATAGAAGAAAAGGATGAGAGCTGTAGGAAAAAAGCAGAGGGGAGTATGTGTCACAGGATGGCTGGAGGAAAGGTCGGCAAGCAATTTCGCAGACACATTCTAAAAGGCCACCAGCCATGGTAAGCCTGTATACTGGCGGTACATTTAACAAAAATATCTACTTTTTAAAAAGAAATTATTATTATTATTAATTTTAGTGTAAATTTATAGAGAGTTTGGATTTCCATTCATTCATTGTTGAATCAGTCATTTTCTCCCTGTCCACACCTCCACCCCAGTACACTCTACTCTTTGAAAAGTAAAACTCTTTCACTGTTTTACAATCCTTCCCCCCAGGTCTACTCCACTATGCAGCCTTCATTCTGGACTCCTACCATGACAAAAATACCTAATCACATATCCCTTTAAAACAGTTTTCTCCCTCATCTGTTTCAATGCAGTACACATTGTTTATCCCATCTTCTGAGTCTCCCCCCAACAGTGGCACTATGCAGTATTTGTCCCTGTGTGACTGAGATATTTCACTCAGCATAATGTCCTCCAGGGTCACCCACTTTGAATAATATTGCATGAGTTCCTTGTTTTTCAATGCAGCGTAGTA